GATGGATGGATGGATGGATGATAGCTAGATAGGAGCAGAGGATACAAGTTATGCTAATTTTGACCAGCAATTATAAATCAATTTCTCCGGTTGACTTTTGATTAATAACAATGTATTTTTTTTAGACAAGTTCATTTGCAAATCACACTGAACGATACAGAATAAAATGAAGTGATTCCTTTTTTTCCTGTGCTGGTTCCTTCATTTTCTATTTACACTGACACTTTGACACAACACGGAGGAGAAAACAACCCACCGTGTTTTCTGACGCCGTTACAGAAGGCTACATTTATTCAAGACTCACAGAATTCAATTTATAACTGACACTTTTTCTACCGACACGTCAAACAACCTGGTGTGAATAAAACACCTCTCACACCTTGGCTCTCACCACTGAATATCTTACTGGGATTTTACAGTTGAACAGGAGCTCCGTTTGAATCCTTCGACTGTCTAATACAGCGGTGACAAACATGTGACCCGGGGGCCAAAACCGGCCCGTTTGATGAAATTTGAAAGTAAAATAATACAAAACACTTCATGTTCAGGAAATAATTTGTAAAATTATATTCCACTAAATACGAACATTTATCTAATGTACTGTTTTACATGAATACAAAGGGGAAAATGACAGACTTACTGTTATTTATAGTTATTTATAATTATGTTATGATTGCACTGGTCCGGCACGCACACAAAAATGTCTATGTAATTTGGGTTAAACAAAAAATGCATTCACCGTATCTCATTTGTAAATGGCTAATGGCTGAAATGGAAAAGTATTTAACATGCAGAAAAAGGGAGCATTTCACTCAAAATGCTAATACGTTCACGGGCTTTTGTGTGACCTTGCAGACGCTCCTTCAACAGTAATTACAAGTATTACTGCTGTTGCAAAACATCATCCAGCTGAGGAGATTAATGATCTGTGGATCAGTAAAGTTATTAAGGCGGCCAAGTGGCTACAGCAGCGATTCCACTTCCTCCATTTACAAACTCAAACTATGCTTCGGATTCCGATCTTCTTGCCATGATCCTGTCCGATGGATCACTTGTTCAGCTTTTCTGCTTTGGTAAACTCAACACTTTTACAGCAGAACCCTCCTCCCTGTCCCTGTTTTCTTTTTTTGTCTAATGAGCAGTAAGGTAAGTGGCCTGTATGATCCCAACCCACTCCAGCAGTGGAGAGTCAGCTGCACTCAGTAATTAATCATTTGGAACCACATTGGTTTGCATGTATGCACAGACACACACCACTGCAAGTCCCTTTGTGAGTATGCAACCTGTATCTGCAGCAACGTTCGCTCCCTTTCACTCTCTCCCTCCCTCACACACACACACACACACACAGACAGATCCTGCAGTCAGATGGGTAGGAGTAAACTTGTGATGTACGTGGTCAGGGTAGGAATGAACTGCTGGACTGTTCACGCCTCCACTGTGGTGCAGTGTTTGACAGCCCCTGCACCACAGCACCGGTAACACCAGGTGAGAGGCGACGAACCTTAACGCACATTTGTGAGAAGTGCACTCACTTCTGCAACTCCTACTGGGCTCTTACATCTTTTTTTTTTAAACAAAACTTTTGTTTTTAACCTGGACGGAAGGCAAAAATCTTCTATCAGCAGCATGTGATTCTTCGGTTCAATGTTGACACCGTTGATTGCAATAAATAGTTAAACACTTTATCCATGAGGGAAGCTATAAGATGACTAATGTATTTCCACTATATGGACCTGCTTTCCAGGCAGAGCCCTCGTGCTGCTGGTGATACAAGTTCATATAGAAACCTAACTATTCTGTTTGATGGAAAACCCAGGAAACAAACTGCTGAATTATTACACACGCACACACACACAGTACTGTACAGTGTACTGTATTTTGCGGCTGAGGCTGCTTCACGTTTTCAACCAGAGATGCACAGCGACATCTAAAGGCCATTGTGTATAATTGTTACTAATATGTACTGTATGTCACGGGAGATTTTTTCATCTTCCTTTCATAGATTTTTTTCGTGTGCTTCCTAGCAAGCACGTCATCATTTCGATAGTAAGAATAATCTGTACATACGGTGGCTCCTTAATTACATTTGACTTCTGAGTGAGACGTGACGTCAATAGACGGTTAATTATTCTCAGGAAGACAGTAGTAAAACCAAACATTACTGAAAAAACGATATAATTAAAAAAATACATATATTGATGATAATAATTCAATCGTTTTTTACAACTAGTTGTGATATAATGTAAACAAACCATGCACGGAATTGAGACCGAAAGAAACTATGGCGCAAGTGTCACTTTTAACCACAGGAGGGCAGCGTTGTACACAGAGAATCTAATCGTTTTTTACTTTAACTTATGGATTGAGAAGTAAACCTGCTCAGGTTAATATGTACATATTGAAGTCTCGATATAACGCCTTAAAATTTAATCGCGATAAAAATTATAATTTTTTTAAAAAGATTCTTTTAATTTAAACTTATCAACTTATCAACCCCCAGAGGCAAAGCTGGGCACTTGAAATCTCAATGAATCTCAAAATCACACGATGCCTCCACATGTGGAAGAAGGTGCTGACATTAGCTTTAGAGCTAATTAAAAAAAAAAGACAAAACATTTTGACAGTAGCGGCAGCCTTTCATTATGGTACTGCAGCTCTCAAAACTACAAAAATATAAAATATTGAAATGTCGTTTTTTTTCCCTGACGAAAGTCTCCCTAACACAACAAGGGGAAAAAACAACCTCAAACATCAAACCACAGTAATAAAAGAGTAGAATTAGAATATTTTAAGGACAGAAACTGAGAAAACAAACAAAAACAGGAAATATGATTCAGAATATGTTTCAAATGCCCCCCCCCCCCGTACCCTCAGCATACACCACAACAATCCACACACACAAACACACCTTCCCTGGAGACGTTTTAATGGGGATGAGCAATGAACGGCTAAAAGACGGGCAAAATAACAAACCGGGTTCTTTTGTCTGCAACTCAGACAACAACGTTCACGAGAGAGTCCGTCATAAAAGGGACAGGTAGAGTTTCAGTGTCGGCCCACGGGCACAGAGACAGCACAAAGAGTCCAAACTGACCTGCTGTTGTCCGCAGCTGCGTAGAGGAAGATGAAGATCGTCTCCGTCGGTGACGTGTCACTATCTTTTTGATTCATCGTCCATCTCTGTCTCTTGGCTGACAGTAAAGTGATCCTTCCTCGGTGCATTTGGCCTGGAAAGAGAATGGAACGTGGTGACAGTCAGAACAAGGTGGAGAAGCGTTTCCACAAAGAGTCACTCATACCGATCAGAGAGACCTTTGGTAAAAACAAAAACAACAACAAACATTGGGAGCATGTAAACATGAGGATGTCTGAGAGAATTGTTATTATTATTAAATGCTAACTGCTAGAAAACATCATAATCGAGAACAATGGCATTTATTACAGCGGCGGTTCTCCAACGGTTTATACTCTGTACCACCTGAGAAAACGCTGAGCTCTCTGAGTACCACCATGATGACCAACATTAGAATACAGCAGCGTAGTATGTTTCAGATTTATTCAATTGAAAATGTAAATGCAAAAATATGAATTTGTCCCACGTACCACTAGAGGGCGCACAAACCACAGTTTGAGAACCACTGTTCAAGTACAACTGGTGGTGCTTGCGTACCACCAGTGGTATGCGTACCACAGTTTGAGAACCACTGTACTACAGTATTTTCAAGGCAAATGTTAGCTTACTTTGCATAGAAAACAAGATGCCAAAACGATAAGATTACTTAAAAACTATTTGGTGACACATAGCATAAACTCATGATAAGCGTTCCACACAGAACTAAGGTTCAGGATATAGTTTTGTCCTTCAGATCTACTTGTGGTAGAGAACTGAATTGAACATGTTGGAAACAACTCATTTTCACTTTCTAAGGAATACACAACTACTAACAACACTGGTTTAGAGTTTGGAGAAGAAAAGGAGTTTTCTTCAACACAAAGAACACCGTCCCTAAGGTAAAACACACCATTGACAACATAATGTGGAGTGCTCAGACTCTGTTGAGGGTACAAAGCACACCCATGAAGAAGGGAACTATAAGGACGGAAACGTTTGTGAACTCGTTTTCAGATTAAGACTATAAAAACGTAGGGTATTTGGGTCTCGGTCATTATCTTTTCTTTAAATGTGTCAGTGATTCAAAGACATTTAAAAAACTGAGACTCATTAGAAATCTTGAGCAAATATCATATATTCATATATTTATAAATATAATGTAATATTTGGATATCAAAGCAGAAATGTAAAAAGAAGTTTACTGTGTATTAGTTAACTACAGGCAAATTCTTACCCATAGGGTAAAAATGTCATCTTTTACTAAATAAATAGATATGATTGATACACCCCCATGTTATGAACATATGCAGTACCAGTTTCTCTTCTTCCATATTTGCCTATATACATCGTATCAACTGACTTACTCTTCAGTCGTCTCACTCTTGAGCAAATGTGATCCAAAACCCTCGAAGCCCTTTCTGTGACTAGAACTGTTTTAATTGGAACAAAACTGTGGACTCTTGTTGTGTCGGACGTGCAGTTATCGGGTGGTTTTTCTTCTGTCGGTTGCAGCCCTGTGGCTTCACGGATGCACTGAACAGCACTACAATTTTCCCACGTTGCTTGGCTATCTGATGATGCTCTCACTGCAGGGCGAATGTAGAGATGTGAGGGTTTGTTGATTGAATCTCCATGCTATCACTATATGTCATGTTAAGGTGTTTTATGACGGTATGGAAATTCCCTCATAAAAACGTATAGAATACAATAAACGGGATGTTAAATAAAAATGAATATGTTTAAGTTTGACATATTAAATCTTTTATTGCCACATCACACGGTGATAGGAATGTTTGACAAGTTTTAATGTTCATCCATTTTTATTATTTATTTTTTTAACCCTTGGGACATACTGGTTAGAAGGAAATATTTACATCATAACGCGTTTGACTTCAATGTGATTCCCGTACGGTTACGGATCTAGAGCTTAAACATTTTTTTTTTTTTTTTACGATTTAAACGAATATCAGGGCGTTATATGTTGTAATCACGGCCGGTTGAACTGGTTTTGACGAGTGACAATTGAGGGCCATTTTTGTGGAAATGCACCAGTGTATACACTGGTGCATTTCAAACCTTCCTGTTAAGTTAAAGCAGTGTAGTGACAGTAACATTTTTTTTAAAAAAGTGTCAAACTCAATTTCACAGTAGGCCAAAATTAAAAACTGGGACAAAGTCACAGGGCAACCTTAATATTTTTTGAAAAGTTGACGGTATTTGTGCCTGTTTTCCCTTCTCTCCAGATATGTAATGCAGGAAACAACTTTAAGTTTTTTGTAAACATGGAATCTGGAACAACCAAAACTTAATATTATAAACACATGTCTGTAGCCTCTCGAGTTCCTTTTTAATGTAAATCTTTTTTCACAGGCAACAAAAAAAAAAACACCAAAAAAACCCCAAAAACATATATGCTATAACATAGCAAATACATCGCTAATACTACAAATCTTGCCTTATATGGTGCTATATACTGGTGGGCCAACTCTAGTACACATTTGATATGATCTCACGGGCCAAATATAATTACACTGCGGGCCAGAATCGGCCCCCGGGCCTGAGTTTGACACAGCAGGCAAAAATATGGATGACCCCTGCTAATTGTTGTACTATGTAAACTACACACATTGTTTGTTGTTGCCTGAAGATTATAACGATAAGACTATAAGCAAACAAGTTCTCAGCAGAGAACACAAACGTCCATAGAAGGTCCTGAAGAAGACGAAACCTGTTCTGTTTCCTGTTCATCCCCGATAATCCCATAATTGTTTCTAAAAGCACGTACCGGTGCATTCTCGAATGAGTCATCTATTCAATCCATGTCACTTGATAAAAGCCTACTTCTTCACACAGATTAAATCTGCACCAAAGTACTAGAACTGGTACTTTATGCAACTTTGTGAAATGAAGTTTTTTTTTTTCATCTCTTCACTTATCTAATAAATAAGATGTTTTACCAGCTACGACGAGGGCCGTGAAGGCCTGCAGTGCTAATGTTTGAACGTGACATATGACCTCTTTAAATACTCCAAGCTTTACATTGACATAAAATATTAAGTGTTGCCAAACTGCCAGCTTTGAAGAGTAATCCCTGTTCCCCAGAGAGGGTCAGCGAGTGAAACAGGATAGGGTTTTTAAGTCCTAATAAGTTCTAAATTGAGTGGAAACACACACACACATACGCACGCACACACATGCACGAGCGGTCAACCGTGGCTTTCGGAAACATATTTAGACTATTTCTAACCACAGTTTGGATTCTGACGTCTGCTTCAAACTGGATCAGGGCTAATGAAGATCTATGAAGTGCAGTGACACTGTTTGGACAAATTGCTTTATTGCACTTTATAGACAGCATCTGGTAAAGCTACATAATCGACTCCATCCCTGACGGTTTCTGGTAATGACCATTAGATGGTGTCCTAATGTGTTTTAGACATAAGCTAATTTAATCATTATTTCGTCAGTCTTTCATTTAAAGACTAATAAAACAGGCACGAAAGATCGTCTCAGTGAGGAAAGAGCTGTAGGATATGTAGCATTATCTCCTGATGATAGATAATACTAATATTAAATACAACTACATCATGAAAAACCTTGGATAGGAGGACTAAACCAACCAAATCCTCTGCAGATTTTTAAATATTTAACCTTTTTCACATTTTCCTAAAGGGTATTATTGGTCAACAACTGTTGAGTTTGATTTTTTTTTCCTTTTACAGGTAAAATAAATCTCTATTTTTATGTTGAGTTAACCAATAAAAACACATTCAATGAACTTTACACAATATTCCATTGTGTAACCCTTTAACATCTTTGTTAAACTGCCAATCATCCTTAGTTATCTGTGACCTAGTTAAAAAAAAACACCAAAAAACAAGTTGTTTATACACACAGCAGTAGAAAACGTAGTTAGAACAAATCCAATATCAAAGGTTTACCAGGATTAAAAACAATGGTATTTTTTTAATAAATCAACATTAATAAATAGGGCTAAACAACATTAATAAATGTGCAAAACATTAGAGATTCAGAAGACACCACGGTGCTGTGGCCTGGTGTGTTATTTTTGGATTTTGTTTGTACAGCACATGTCTAATTAAATGAGTGTTTCCACTTAAAAAGTACAAACACACACACGCACGCATGCATTCTCTGAAGCAGACTCCAGTGTGGCTGTCTGGCATTCCTCTCTCTCTGACACCTGACAGCTCTAAGTCGACACAAAGTGTGGATTTCACTGGTGCCGTGTCAGTTACATGTAATTGACATCCTGTTTCTTGTCAGTCCCTTTTCTTTTCCTACCTTTTCTCTCAACTCATTCACGCGCTAACAACAGAGGTGAGAATAAAGCAATGGAGGCGACTCATCATTAAAATGGGCCGTTCGCTCATCAACTTTCACTGCCGGTGAAACAGCAACAACAATTGTTCTGCTGTGCACTATTCATGCATATTTATTTATGTTAATCAAATAACCAATCAATAATATATAATGTTTTATTATATGTTAATAAATAAATATAAACACACACACATATATAAATAGAAACATATATACACACATATATACATACATATATACACATATATGTATATACATATATGTGTATATATGTATATACATATATGTGTATATATGTATGTATATATGTGTCTATATACATATGTAGGTATATATGTATGTGTGTATATATGTATATACATATATACACACATACATATATACCTACATATGTATATAGACACATATATACATATACATATATATATATATATAAATACTAACTGTATTACTGGTGTCACTGTTTTAGGAAATAAATATATACATATAAACCTTAATATAAGTACACACAAGTACATTTATATAAATATACATACACGTACAAAAGTACGCACATATATACATGTGTAAACAGTAATAGACTTTCTTGGGTCCCAACAATCACAAAACCACGTGGCAAATGTTCATTTTGTGAAGTTTCGCTGGGTGTCAGTTGAAACGGTCGTCACATTTACAGTTGGGCACTCAGGATACGTCTCACTAAGGACAAAAGAGTTGGACCAAAAAGACAACTATGGCGATACAGTACAAAGGCCCTCTAATTATGAGGAA